AAAACTTGGCAAAGAAAAATACAATTAAGTTTTTTTATATTTTTGTTAAAAAATTTAAGTTTAGGGATCTTTTTTCGTTTACGCCAATATTTATTTATCCCCAAATGTTTGTAAAAAAAAATTGCCCCCCCCAAAATTTTTCCACCACCCCCCCCCCCCCCCACTTGTCTCAAATAGAGATAAATGAATTTATTCCCTAAAAGTAACAAAACAAATCGATTATTTTGAAATTATTTTGAAAGTTCTGACTTTGAAAATCGTTCACTTAAATTACTCTTATCAACAACAGCCCTACTTCCGATAAGGTGAGAGAAAGATCCAGCGGCAAGACCAAAAGACGAAGAATTTTGAAAGACAATTTCGCAGAGGTTCCCAACAGTTGGTTTGAGGGTCGGGCAGCTGTAATGCTGTAATGGCCATATCACCCTATTTCTATGGCGTAACGAGACATGTGAACAGAGCGAAGGTCAGATGCAAATGAGACGTTTTGATTTTTTACCCATGACGCGCTTCGGATCTTGTCCAACACCGCCTGGGGGTCGGGGATTTGTCTTAGTTGAGGTCCGGGTTTCGGGATTTTAGAAGAAAGGAGGAGCGAGGTTCGAGATTGTCTTTGTAAACGGTATACAGGATTTGGCGATTTTGCTATTCGGAATTATGGAAATATTGTTAAAAAAAACCGATATTCGAAGGGAAAGTCAACGACATTTTCTTAGTTTTGAGAAGGTCCTTTCATTTTCACGTATTAGACAGAAGATGTTCACATCCTAGACCCTGTCACTTGACTATTTGACATCTTTATCCTGTTCCATTTAGACACAACACAGATGCTTCCCAAGTTTTTCCTGGCCTGCGAAAACAACCGTTTCTCCTCGCTCCTCGCCGCCCTCCTCGCCGCTGGGGACATTTCGCGAAAACGATTCGCAAAATGTCCCCAGAGACGAGGGCGAGCTGAAACAGCTGTTTTCGCAGGCTAACTCAAAGCTTCCAAAGAGAGAGAGAGATGTCGTTTAGTTTCCCTAGCTTCTCTGGTGCCTTGCTTCTGTCAATGAAAAGAAAACCTGCAAGTGACATTGTTCATTGACTGCAAAATTAAACAAACAAGGTACTGTCACATTAGGAAGCGGCGAAGGCACTATGTTAGAAGTAATTACAAAGCCAAGCACTCAAAACCATCCATCCCCCAATAAGTGACTCTAGTTTCAGACAGGAGTGTTTTTATCAGAGGATTAAGCCCTTAAATCATTTTTAGCATACTCTAGATAGTAATCATCATCATCATCATCATCATCATGTCTTTGTGTAGGTTTTACAGAGTGTAAGAATTTAATAATATTCTAAATTGGCTTTTTTTACGTAGAGAGATTCATATCATTATGTTTATTAGGATTGTATTAGGTTTCGTACTGAACTTTTTTACCTCTAAGTATAGCTTCTCAAGTGGTGTAGGTTACGTTATGCGCCCTATACTACTCATAATGTGGACAGCATTCCAAAGTTTTATACTGCGAGATAATAATAATAATAATAATAATAAGTCTATAAAATTTCACTTTATTCTGGTTTGTGATGAATTAATGATACCGATATAATTTAGTATAATTATTTTGAAGTGATCATTGCAGTTTACTCAGGTAAACAAGAAAAAAAAATAAAGAAACAGGGTTTGTAACAAAAATGTACAATACGGTTACTAACTACTAGAGGTTTGCTATGCAAGTCAAATATACATACCCCTATAAGGTCTCCCAATTGACTTCTTGTTTTCAAGTTGTTACCCACTCTCACCCATCTAACAATGTTATGACTGATATGGGCAAACTCGGTATCCAGCTTGACGTCCCTTTACCAGCCTCAAAATTGATGTACTCCACCAAGGTCAAATGGAATGCTTGTCTTACTTCTGCTAAATACAGGATGAACTTTGTATTGTGGTAGTGTAGGCCACTGTCTAAATGACACAAAGATTTTCACAATATTACAGCACAATGCAGGTACTCAGTCTTTACAATAATAATGTTCAAATTTTTAGTTTTATAACTTGTGTTTGAGTCCACAATCCCTTTTGTCCAAGTAACGCTTACTCCAAAAAAAAGTACAAAAGTATGCTCACTGAGAGATGATGTTTGGTGTAACATATATGGAAAATTATTATGTTGTAATCTGAAAATAGATTTACATTATAGGTAGTTCACTATTGAACTGCTTCTAGGTAACTTTTACATGTTTAGCCACCAGATAATGGTTAACCATTATTTTTTAATGAGCCACATTATAAGGAGAACAGCATCACATTTCTTCCCCCAATATCGATCAAAACCAAAAAAATACTAAAATCCATGATGAGTTAATCTAATCCTTCAAGTGCTGCCCCAAGCAGCTCTAGAAAAAAGCAATGGATACTCAAAAGCAGATTTTGCAGGTTCACTCGGTTGTAGGTGATCGAGTGACAGTTCCTTTAGATGTAGATACAATGTACATGTATCCCATTGTGAATTTTGTAATAACTCAGGTAGAAATAATAGCTGATTAAGACAGAAAGAATAATGTTTTACAGTTTGATTACTGTAGTGTATCTTCCATTCACTGTTCCAAACTGACACAAATTACTGCTATACTACAATATTGTATTTCCTTTCTAAATGTAAATAGTATTACTAAGATGACTACTCACCAGAAAACAAATATACTCGAAAGCCAGGGAACTCCTCCATCCAGTGGAACCACACATCCATGGCAGTTTGGCTAAACCAAGCATCCTGCAGAGCTTTAAGCATGGAGAATGCCTCTGCACCTGGTGGGCAAACTATGTCTTCGTGAAACACTGGTACTGCAACAATTTACCCCTCAAATCCTTAACAGACACCATTGTTGCTCTTTCTACACTGCCAAGGAAAGTCATAAACTTGTCAAAATCTGAATGTCCGAACACATCACAGAGATAGCAAAACCCTGCAAGCATGGTGTTGTAGCGGAAATTGGGGGGGAAGGTGGGTGTAAATAAAAGTGGGCTTCACACGGTTGGGGAATTCTAGCAGATACTGGTTGACAATCTCTTTAACATTGTCCTTCCAATACCTGACAGGTGTTTCCTCGCCATCTGTTATTACACTTCTGCAGGAAGAAGGCCTTGATATGCTCTCTCTGTTGAAAAATTCAGACAGTTCCATCAACACATCAGGACTGACACATTGTCTTGTAGATTTAAATTTTGCTGGAGGGGTTCCACCACAGCTAAACAAAATACAATTGACTTTTGCCACCGCTATTGTCTTTGAAGAACAGTGGAACAAATCTTGCAACATGTTGTAAGGATAATCCATGGCAACAATGGGAAAAAAAATATTTGCCTCTCATGTGCACAATAGGTTAGTCTGCCAATAGAATTTGCAGCACTAACCCTGTCCTTGAAGTGCTCTGGTGTTTTTTCACCCGTAAGAGTTACACGTCAATCCTTAAGTGAATTACCAATTGACACAAATCTTTCTAGTTTGTTTCAAGCACCTCCTTCTCACTTCTCTTTTCTTTTATTTGTCATTACAAGCTCCTTTTTTGAGTGTCTCTGACACAAGAAGTTGTTACCGAAGAGGCCACAAAGTGAGCTGTTGGTCCTGCTCTTGCTTTTAACATGTCACTCTCATGAAGGACATCTCCTATACAGGAAGTGCTTGAGCTGTCACCTGAAGTTGAGGCTTCACCTTCATCTGGCATCATTGGTGCTGTTGTCACTACCAAACCATTGACCACATCCACCACATTGCAAGAACTTGTATTGTTTTACTTTCAAATTGAGCCCTTCTACAAATTTCCTAAGTAAAGAAAGAATATCCAGGGATTTCAGAAAAGTACTTAATCCAAGGAGTAAAGGATTATATCACCCAATGTAAGGGAATCCGGATTCCCGAATCCGGGAAATTTTTGCTTGTAGAATCTGGAATCTGGGAAAAATTTGCATTTGGAGTCCGGAAATTATGCGGGAAAAATTTGCATGTGGAATCCGGAATCAGGGAAAAATTTGCATGTGGAATCCGGAATCCTGGGCTTTAGAATCCGGAATACAGCTCAAGGAATCTGGAATCCCACTAGCGATTGGAATCCAGAATCCAAGTTCCACTGAAAAAGACTGGAATCCAGTACCGAGAATCCGGAATCCATGATGTGGGATTCCCTCACATTGGGCAAAACAAATGATTAGAAATGGGACTTGAACCAATCACGAAACCTTATTCAACAGAACAACGGGAACCAAAATCATAATTATTTTAACCAAAAAAGGAAAAAATTAATGTGGCAGTGACAGTATTATGAAAAATGCACATAAACTGGACTGTTCAGCAATGCATAGTAGTGAAATTGAAGTTGTCGAATTTTTTCCATCATAAGAGACTGATGTTCAAGTTATTTTTTCTCTGCAGATGTCTCACAAGATTCCACACATGCCGTAATCACATACATTTTACAAACAATGATTATATTGCTATTGCATGCAGAGATCTTACTTCCAGTGAAACAGGTTAACATAACGTTAACAATAATGATAAAAATCTTTTTCTCTTTGAAATCTTTTTTGGGCTACTCGAATAAGCACCGCACCTTTAACATAAATAATAGGGCCATTTATACGAGGAAAAATAAGACGCGAACTTTCCGTATAGACGGCACATTTCATCTAAAATAAGACGCGGCTTAGCTAAGACGCGTCTTATTAGATAAGACATGCTCGTATAAATGGTACAGTTCGCGTCTTATTTAGGACGCGTCTTATTTTTCCTCGTATAAATGGCCCTAATGTTATAAGCACCGCTCTCGAATAGGTGCCACTGCGCTTATTTGGGTATTTACAAATAAACGCCCCTGACCCTTGTTACGGCACTTGATACTCTAAAGAGATATCAAAACCATAACTCGAGAAATAAGACCACGACCAGCTCATGAGTTCTAAAGTGTTTTATGTGGGGAAACTCTTGAAACCAGGTTCATAAAACGTTTCAAGATGTGTACACGTTTGTCCTTTTTCTTGCACAACTCTGAGTTCTCTCTATATTCTTCTCAGTGTTTCGTCCGTCATTTAAATAAGTGCCGTTCTTAAATAAGTACCGCTTCCAAATAAGCACCGTCACCTTTAACATGAAAAATAAAATAAGTGCCACTGCGCTTAATCGATTATTTACAGTATGTGTTGAGGGTCCATAATAAGTTTGGTAGGATGAGGGATTTGGCTATTTTTTGTGACGTGATACTCAGGATGCAAGCTAAAAAAAGGAGCAGGAAGCCGGAATTTTGATAATGAGCAGGAGTGAGATTTCCTATTTTTTTTGGGTTGGGATATGGGAATCGTAAGGGAAAAGGAGCGGGATACCGGAATTAAGTTTTGTTGTGACCACATTTTGACTCTTTTGTGTACACTCCCCTTGTACTAGAAACTACTAGTCATCAAGGAATTGAAGCCTGTCAGTTTTATTCATTATCACCTTTGCGTGTTTTCGTCTTATTCTGGTACTTGGTAAAGACGGTGTGCATGAACGGTTAACAGATAGGTGTGGAGTGAGGCCAAAAACCAAATTGGACTAGGGAAAGACGTGAAAAATACACAGTTAATTTTATACAGTCTTTGCCTGTACTTCGCAACTTTTAAAACCGATTGCGAGAAAAGAAGAAAAAGCACCGTTTGCAAACAATAATTATTGCAGGTCACAAACACCTATTTGCGTGAATTTAAGAATGGAATAAAATAAAGAGTTTTTAAACAGGAATGAGTACAAGTAGCAGTATAAAAGAGGAAGAAATCGAGGAGCATTAGCGCAAGAAGGGTGGAAGCAATTGCAGACAATTCAAAACATCCATCTACCCAACTCAACTGGCTGGCCAGAACTCAGATTGAAGTAAACCTTCTTTTTGTACTGATGCACTCACAAAAAAAAAATTAATTATTAATAAGCAAAACAGAAAATAAAGTTACATTCGTTAATGGTTTAGCCTGGCACCAGGCTCTGCTTTGGGGACAAGAGAGAAAAAAACTGATCCCATTTTTTGCCTTTTTTGTCCACTACAGAGCCTGATCCCAGGCTATTAATTAATGGTTCAGTCAAGAGCATTAAACATCAAAGCTGCCTATTGCAAGACGGCAAGGCTTATACATTGTATAACATTTTAAAATTTCAATAATGAAAGCAAGAAACTAATAAAATTAAATTAGGACGGGATCTAGTCTGTTACACAGCTAATTTTAGTGTCGTCACGCAACGCTCCTCTCACAAACTTTGTGGCTGTGTAGCAGACTAGGCGGGATCGGGATTCGGAATTAAAAGCAGGCAGGATAGCACGGTTAAGAAGAAAAAACAAGCGGGAAGTCGAAATTTGACAATCCTATTGTGGACCCTCTGTGTTCCTGTTGATTTTTACCCTAAGCTGCTACGAAAAAATGACAGGCTTTACTGTTGGTCGGCAAGTTACACATAAATCTGAATTGACAAACTATACAAGCTTTACAAATACCATTCACTGATTAACAAAACCGTTTTTCAATCTATCTCTATCAGAATCCGTACAAATGATGTTTGGGAGGGTTCTGTCACACGCATGTAAAGGTACCACGTGTGGCAAAAACACACATGCCACATCTGAATAGATGGTGACGTCATCAAATTCTAAAGTCAAAATAACGAGGTTTTGCGAATTCGTATTTACCCTAGGTTGAAGACAATCAAAAAATAAATCTTTGTGCAAGTTTCCAGTCCCGTAGCATGTTTCATTTCGAAAATACAGCAATTTAAACTTCCGAGTTTTCAGAGTGCGTGACACCAAAATAGGAACGCTGTCTCGTTGAAAGAAGTCTCTCCTCCTGATTTTCAGCATTTTAACCTTTTCTAGTATTAGAAGATGTACTTATGTGCACGTATGCTAGCTCTCGAGTGAAAAGAAAGAGCTTTTATAGAAAAAGTGAACTCCAGATGGTTTTGTTGATTTCCGGCGGTCTACAAAGGTGCATGAAACGTTTCGGCAGATAACTCAGAAACTGTGGCCCTAAAGACCTGAGACTTGGACAAATTGTTTATTTATTTTATATTAGTCTTTTATAACATTTCGTTTTCTTGGCTTCTTCCACTGGACGGTTTCCGATATATCTTTTCGCGCCGTGTTTATTGCGTGACAGTGAAATAAACCAAAGACCATGAAATTGTATAAATAAAAGAGTCCCACGCGACAAACATATTAAAAAGGAACTTGTTACTCGAGAGGGCTATACCGATAAATAATGCGGAGTATTTCAAAGATAACTTATGAACAAAACAAATTCAAAAAGGCATTTAAAGGTGGGTGTGAACCTTACCTCCAGTTTCTGACACTTGAATTCAACGAGCAGCCTTGAACGGCACGAAACACCCATTTTTCTTTTCCTCCCTTTGTTCTTTGGGTCTTCACTAGCAATTCACTACTGACTAGCAAGGTTGAGGACGCAGCTTCCTCGAGGGCTCAAGGGCGCAATCTGCTCGTCAACTTTTCCAATGCTTCCACGGCATGACGAACGATACCGAGGCACAGAAGACGGGTGAAAATCAACTACTTACACTTTTTGATACTATTTACGAACGTAATTACAATATATTTATAATTATGAGCGAGCAAAACGACATGAAAAGAAAGAACTAACGCAACCCAGACTATATAATCATGAGATGGCATGGAGACTAGCATGAATTACTTGCCGATGGCGGCCGTTGGGGTTAGACACCTTATGACGCCTACACAAAATTTATTTTATAATTGCTTTTGTTAAGAAATGGTTGTGATGGTTGTAATTTAATGTATAAAAAAATTCGGGAAATTTTGGTTGGGAATTTTCGGTCGGTATGAACGGTACGCGTCATTTACAATTTGCCTAAAATTTCCGGATTGTCGCGCCGCGCTAAACTGGATTCTAGTTACAACATGAAACTAATACGAAACTCAAGAAATTTGTAAAAGGTAAACGAATTTCCATTCGTAACGTCCCAATGGGGAAAACGGGACTACCTTTTTCAGAATTTCCGTTTGTCCCGGGAATTTTCCAGTAGGGCGAAAGAAAACCTTTACCATTTACACCCCAATCGGAATTTCCGGGAATTTGTGGTAAATGGTAAACAACCAATTGCTGTAGTGATTATTTCGTGCTCTTGTTCACTCACATCCGAATCTCCCGACAAAGTACAAAACAATAGGTCGGAACAATACCTTTCCTTTGTTCTATATTTCTGACTTGCAATCGGCTTTTTTCGTCGAAAATTCGGGAAAAAATGACTTCTGACCAATCGAATCGCTCTGTTTTAATTAAATAAGCCAATTA